CATTCCTCCTGAACCCTTTAAAAAAAGAGGCAGCTAAAAAATCAGGACCCAGAAAATGATTATAAAGACCACTCAGTATTCTGTCTCTATCTTCCAGTAGGGATGAACTATACCCAGAGGCTTGAGCTGGTTTTGAAGGTATTTAAAAAAAAAAAAAAAAAAAAAAGAAAGAAAAAAGGTAAGGAATATTATTATCTGACCAAGTCATTACTTACTGCCTGGTTAAAAGAATAGAATCTTCATTTAATTCTTTACAACTTGTATAACAAATCAATTGCTTCCTGTTGTGACTGAAAAATATTTTTGGTTTCTGGACCTAAGACTGTCAAAAATGCATTGCTGAAGAGCGTAACTTCTTTTTGCTTGCAATGTTTTTTAAAAATGTTTAAATGATACTATTGGCGATGCAGTTCTTTGAGAGGGGACTCCAAGAGCAGAAGCACTGCTTGCACCAGAATCATACAAAACCTTTTGAAATTTGTATGCATTCAGCTATTTTTCTGCTTGCGTAAGGTTTTTTTATTTTTGTAACTAAAATTCTGTTTGAAAATAGATGCAAATATCTGCTGGAAGAGAAGGGGCAAGAATTTGTAAATAAAGTTCACTTAACACGTACACAGAGGGATTCCACAGTAAGTTGTCTTTTTTCACCAGCTACTTTTTTTTTTGTGTGATTTTGATGGAGAAATAAATTAAAAAATGTTAACTGCAGAGCAGAGTATATTTTTAAAATCTTTGTGAAGTTGCTTTTTATCATGTGAATACAGAATGTACTCATCTTGCTGGGGTGATCTGACCCTAGCTGACTCCCTGCCCTTTGGGCAGGGGGCCTGGACCCAGTGATCTTGCAAGGTCCCTTCTAATGATCTAGATTTCTAATGTCTATGAAATCTAGTGACTGAAAGCAATTTCCACATAACTTTCATAAGCAACCCAAAATGTAAGTGATTCAGTTGTATTTCAGTTGCATAACAGAATATTTAGTCTGGGAGTGCTAAGTCCCTGAGGGCCTGTCTGTGTTGAAATCTTGACAGTATGGTTAGACTGGGGTGCACAGATAGTATCGTCCTTTATCATGTATAGGATTGCACTCGCCAATTAAATAATATATTGCATTCAAAAAAAAATTAGCTGTTTTACAGCTGGGATTTGATAGTTTGAAATGGGCTTTACTGATATTTAAGTGTAACCTAAAACTTTTGTTTCCTGTCAATATTGGGAACTGTGAAAATTGTCTTTGAACAGACTGAATATTACTTTAGCAATGCCTTGATTGTGGGGTAAAGATCAGGTACATATGGTTTACTGTGAGGTAGAGATGGAATTGTTTGCAAAGTCATGTGAAGGATGAATAATGACAGCGCTGATCCCTGCTGAATCTGAAATGAATCGTAGGTCCGCAGCCCTGTTTAGCACGATGAACAAACCACCGCCCTTTTCGTGTATTTAACCTTCCTTGAAATTCCTTTCTTGAAATTCTCTCATCTGTGTTTATCTTTCTCTTTTAGATAGAAGCTGCTGAAAAGACATCACTTACGGAAGGTATTGTTTTTTCTAAATAAAAGCATATGTTTTTTTATGCATTCTTTGAGAGAGAGCTTGGCTCTGTAAGCAGCCTCATCAAGGAAAGAGGAGTTGGATGACTCCTAAATTTATTCAGAACAAGGGGAAATAGCAGCTGCGCTGCTAGTATAGCTATACAGAAGTTTCCATTGAGGGAGAGGAGAGAAAAATAATGGCTGAAAATAATTTCCTGAAATCATTTGTTTATGAAGATTGAGGCCTGAAGCAGATAGCACTACAGTACTCTTGGTTGTACTGCATTTTGGTTTTCAGTTTTTAAATAATCAGGATGTTACTTGGGCTGCATATAGGTGGTTTTTATATAATCTAAAATGAAAGAAAATAAATTCACCATTAATTTGTGCTTAGGGATTTATGAAGAGTCATGCAATAATTTGGCTTTAAGTGTAGAAATACGTTGTTTGAAGCAACTGTTTTCTTGGAAAAGATGCAACAGAAAGGTTGATTAACTTGTGATCTCAGGGGTTAATCTAGGACTGTAATATCAGTCAGAAGGGCTGAAGGAAGAGTTAATAGTAAAGCAGATCTCTGAGGCCTCCTTGTTTCATGTTTTGTCTTCCACAAGGTTAGCTGGATGGTTACTAGTCAGAGTTTGAATTTACTAATTTTTGGGTAACTGTTTTAACTGAAAAGGACTCTCTAGTGAATACTGCCAAGTACTGCCAATTTGCCCTTGGTTAAATTGTTTTCTCCTTCAACTGTCATTGCAGATGAATTTTTACAGAGTCATTTGGTACAGAATGCAATGCGTATGGGTTTCAATTTGTCTGAGATTAAGAACATTATAGAGAAGAAACTGCAGACATCTGGAGAAAACTATACCTCTGTTGAGGTTTTGGTCGCAGACTTAATAAATGCTCAGAAAGCAAATGCACAAGAAGGATCCAGTGAGAACCCACTGATTAAAGGTGAACATTTTAAAAGGCAAAACATTTATGAAAACTGCTTAGTACTGTATGAAAAAAAATCCTATTGGTGTATTACTGTTGCCACCTTTAACTTCTGTCTTGCTTTCCAGAAAGAACAGGCATATAATATATGTAATTTTGAGAGAATTTAATAAAGTAGTGATGTATGCAGATCACTTAAAACCAAGTATTTTTAAAATATTCTCTCAGACAGTTACTCGCAAGCATGTTCTGCTTTATACTACAAAACAGGCACACAACTCTGACTCTGCGATAACTTAGAGAGGTTTTATAATCTGCAGTTCTGAGTTTTCAGAGGCATTGTCTATTTGAAATCTAACCACTTCCAAAAATTTTGTTTAAAAGTATTTTCAACTTTTACCCCCAGATCCTGAGTTGCCCTGCCAACTTTTGTGGTGTTGTGTTTTCCCCTGTCTCGTCCCACCCCCTAAAAAACATTATTACCTTTCTGTGGCTAAATAATTCTCTCTCTTAGTAAATGGTGAAATGACTATTTACAGAAGAAGCCATGGAATAAACTGTGCCAGGAAACGGACTACACAGAGTACTGTCAAATGTCCATTGAAAACACACAATGAAATAAAAAGAAACTTTTGTTTCCTCTGATCTTTCCATTATAAAGCTTTTTTGTAATGGGTTATATAGAATCATAGACAATGAGGGTTGGAAGGGACCTCAGGAGGTCATATTTAGTCCAACCCCCTGCTCAAAGCAGGACCAGCCCCAACTAGATCATCCCAGCCAAGGCTTTGTCGAGTCAGGTCTTAAAAACCTCCAGGGATGGAGATTGCACCACCTCTCTAGGTAACCCATTCCAGTGTTTCACCACCCTCCTGGTGAGAGTTTTTCCTAATATCCAACCTAAACTTCACTTGCTGCAACTTGAGACCATTGCTCCTTGTTCTGTCATATAAGAACATTTTGCTTCCTGGAGTATGAGAGGCAGGAGGTGTTGTGTTGTTTTTTTTATGGTAGTACATGTAAAGCAAAACAGTATTCAGGATTCTGTGCTGGATACTCTGCAGTTGTAATGAAAAGAAAACCACCTACTCCAAAGAGTTTTTATAGTCTACAACAAGACTGCAGATAAATACAGAGAAACAGAAGAGGCGCACTTCTGGTTGACCTGATATGCAATGATCTCAGCGTACCAGCATATCATGGAAAAGGGGAGTTTTAAAGAGGGTTACAAAGGATTGTAATGCATATTTATGGGTGATTATGAGGCATTCTTTCCACATGTGGTAGCAGCACTTTAGAAAGAAGCAATTTTTTTTGTCAAGTAAGGCACAGTTCAATTGAATGGTATAGAACTGAATTAACATGAGATTGGTTTGTTCTGCAGTAAGACTTTGATTAATACTTCTGTGCTCAGAAGTGGCTACTTACCACATTAAAATAATCTGTTTTCATGGGATTCTTTTAAAAAAAAATCATTTGAATCAATATTTCAGTCAACACCTGACATCACTTATCTATGTATATTTTTGGTGGGCAGGTGTGATAGTATTCGTGTCTTCAACACTACTCTTTTGTTTTCTGAATTTGAGTTCAGCCTTTTTTCTTATTTGTGCATAGCACTTCATTCAGTCAGCTTTCTCCTGTGCTGAGAACTCCCTCTTACATCGTCCACGATAACAACAAAAGTTTGAGGGCAGTTGCCAGTGGGAAGTCAGTGACTTTTTTGAGAGCGAATTATGCACTTCCTGGCCTCTGGATATTCTAGAGCAGCATGTCTGGAGAGTTAACTCCTGCTTGCACAGCTCTGGGAGACATAATGGGTGTTGGGAGGCAGTGTCGGTGAGGAGTTGCTAAATTGCATATTAGTTTGCTGCCTCCTATGTGGTGGGGGAGGAGCAGGGGGGATGATCTAGCTCTGCTGTATCAAAACACATTGTTTTATAGGGCAGAGAGCCTTGAGATCAGCTGCTGTTATGAAGTATGCTAACTCATTCTCTGTATTTCCCTTTTCCTTAGATCTTAGTGTGGAAGAGAAGTTAAGACGTTTACAGGAGGAAAAGCTTTGTAAAATCTGTATGGATAAAAACATCTCTGTAGTTCTTATTCCCTGTGGCCACCTGGTTGCTTGCAAGGAATGCGCTGAAGTAGTTGTTAAATGCCCCGTGTGTTGCACAGTTATTACAAGAAGACAGAAAATTTTTATGTATTAGTCAAATGTACAACGAGTGCTGCTTGTGCAACTGGTTCCTATTATGTTGCTGAAATCCTTGTAAAGGTTTAACTGACAGTTGGGATGATAAACAGTCTAGCGCACAAACGTATTTAGAGTGCCTCCAGTTAGGGATAATAGAAAGAATAAAGCTTTAATCAGTGCCCTAAAATCTCATGAATCAGTAGTTAGAGGCTGCTATATTTATGTGGTTTACAGCACTCACATTCAACTGGAACTTCTTTATTCCTCTCCTCCGTTTTTGTCCTGTCATTTTACTTGAGCTGACAGCCGAGAATATGACTCTGTTCTCTTGATTTTTATGTATCACACACTACTAGTTTGTTGCATGTGCATAAATTTAAGTATACTCATAAACAGCATGGGAAACCTGAGTGCTCGATTCACTAAGGGCAGCGTAGGTTGAATTTGTAAGACTGCTTCTGTCATTAGCCAAGCTTCAGAGAGCGCAGAATGTGGGCAATAAACTTCAAAGGGGAAATGACAAATGGGGAAAAGTCCAGCCATGTTTCTTTTGCTATCAGCTGTCTTAGATTATATTTACTAAAGCTAGAATAGTAAACAGTCAACCCCCATTTGGGAATGGGATGAGGAGATCATAGGTTTGGGAGCAGTAACATTTCAGTGACAGAAACAGAGTTGCTGACACTTGGTTTTGTTTTCAGTCTAAAATTGAAATGACTGTCTAATTTACTCTCAAGGGTTAATTTTCTTTCCAACTTGGTGAACCAGTCAATTCCTTAATTTATTTCTCTCCCAGGGGAAAATAGCATCTTTCTCAAAATCTCATAACCTCACTGACCCAGTAACACTTACAGATATTTAAAAATGATTCTCATGACAGAATTATGAAGGTAACTTCCGTGATTTTTACTTGGCTTTCATATAGTTGACCCTTCTAAATGTGCATCAACTCTTTCTGTCCAGTAAAAAAAAAAAAAAAAAATCAACTAACACCACTTCCACCTAAAAGGCAAGTAATTATATTCTTGTTATTTACGTGTCACAGAATTACTTTCCCAAAGCAGCAGCAGCTTTTTGTTATGCTAAGGCCTTTTGTTTCTCCAGCTAACACTGCCTTTAAAAACGACTTCCTATAGCCCAGTAATAAAAGGATCTGAAGCTATCACCAAAAGGCATGCCTCCTTCTCTCTTCCAGGCTTAGTCAGGGCCTCTCTGCACAGAGCCAGTTCCCAAACAGCCTTAACTTTGGTCCTGTTTAAACAAGCTGAAACAAATATAAACAGTGAAGGGGGGGAGGAATGTCTTCCTCAATTTTTCCACTAGACTCGCTCATTGGCAACACCCTCAAAATGATCAGAACTTGTTTATAAAGCCATTACATCTTTGAAGAATCATAGTGATCTCCTTTATATAAAATGTTTTCTTTGACATTGTTCATATATAGTTGTCATATTGTCAAAGGAATCATGTGACGACAGAAACTGCAGTATCCAAGTATCTATTCTGGGACAACAGCCAAGGCAGCCTTCTAATACCAGGAATCCCAGGGTTATGTTTCATTAGTGAGGAGGGTGAAAGAAAACACACCCGTGGTTGCCGTAGTTATGCCAACAGAAGTCCTAGTGGTAAACTCTGCTATAGTGACAAAAAGACCTTTGGCTGATACGGGTTAATTGAAGGAACTGGTCTCAGGCATACCAGCAAAAGTCATTATAGGCCTGCCTGGAAGCACCTGATCCTGCAAGGTGTGGAGGACTCTGCTCATGTTTTCTGTCAGGGGGAATGGAGGATGCACAGCTTCTTGCAGAAGCCTTCCACAAACTAGAAACTGCAATTACATATTCAGAGAATAAAGATGTATTAATGTTCTTTCAGGAAGAAACACAAAGTATATTAGGGCTCTTTTCTACATCTTCCCTCCTCTACCCCTTCTGGTGATAATTCCAAATGCCTAATATTACTGTTCTTAGTAATAATAGTACTGTTACTTGAAAAACAGAAGTTGGAAGATAAGAGTTTAGCATCTGCTTCCGGTTCAAAGAAACTCTGGACAAGAGTAGAGGGTTGGACGAGAAGTTTTCAAAGTATTACACCCCCCCCCCCCCAATTGATAGTGCCAAATTTTAAACTTGGGTATTTCAAAAATGTATTTTTTGAAAAACTAGTCTGGACTTTTTCCCCTAAAAAGTTTTGAGAGTTTTAATGACATTTCCAACCATAGGGAAATAGATGATGAAAAGTTTTGGTCTAATGTTGTCAGGACATAATTATCATGTGCTTGAAAATGCTTTCATTTCAAATGTAATGCATATTCTCAAAACACACAATCCATTCGAATTGGGCACATTGAAAGATGCTGTGAGCGACAAGTGCTAGTTGAGGAATGCCATCACTGGGAATTCTGTTTAGATAATCCAACCACTTGGTCTCAAGATCCATTTTATAGTGCCATTTGTACGTATTCAAAGTGGGCTGTATTTCCAGAATGTATTAATGTGGTTTGTGGTAGAGGACTGTGCTTTTAAAATCCAGATTTTTAAGAATTTTATAATCTATTTTTCATTAACTCCATGTTAAGTATGTATGAAATGATAAGAGAGCAAGATTATGTATATTTTATTATTTAACAATTTGGGCCTGATCCTGCAAACTCTTGGCATGTGAAACTTACTTCATGGGAGTAGTTCCAAACCATGGGAAGTGGTCTTGTGGCTATTTCCTTTCCAGTGCTCGACTCCAGTGGACTCCTCAAGTGACTCATGTGTTATGCACATGAGGTTTTTTTTGCAGGGTCTGGCCCTTTTATAATGCGTGTATGTACCAATTGTAAATGCAGACATTTCCCGAGTTTCCACGTACATAATGTCTTACTCTTCAGTTCACAAAGAAACTACATGTCAATGTTATCCTACTTTTGGACTTTTAGTTTGCAGCGTAATCTAGAGAGTACGTTTGAGCTAGCTTCTCCTGGTTTAGCTTAGACAGGCAATGTTAGTTCTGATGTTTCTGTTTTACCTTCTTTGAATACTTGTTTTTATACAAAAAAAATCTGTTGCTCAAGATCACATGCCCACTGTTTGCTTATCAGCCATAGTTCTTCTGTTCTAGAATCCTTCTGCTTCTTTAATTAATGTTCCCATTTGTATAATTAGCCACTTGCTAATGGTGAACATTTAATTGACTGCTTTCAACTTTCTGTGTATTTGTTTTCCTGCTTTGCCATCTGATTTCCTAGTAGAGACGAAAAGGTATCTAGTGCACTGCATGCCAGAATGATCTGCCTTTCCTCTCTTTCCTCTAAGGATATGTCAACTGAAGCTAATAGGCATCATGTACTTCTGTTTCTTGGAGCACTAAAGGTGTTATTTTAATTAGAAATTGTAACGCCAATCATAATACTCAGATGTTCTGTTTAATTTTTATCTTGTGCATAATTTTTTTGTTAATGCTTTCCTATTCTTTCCATTTTCATAATCAAAAAGTTAAATTAGCTTGTCATCCTAGCGCTGCTTTAAAGAAAAAAATAGCACTCAACTTTGGGGAAGCATTAGAAAACTGTCATTTTTTGTTTTCAGTCCGTTTCACTTGTTTTTGAAGTTTGCAGTTTGAGCTCAAATTATTGCAGGGAAGAATTTGAATTAAATGTCATCTTAAAATATTGTTTAAAAATTACACTTTATTTTTGTGTTGGGTCTTGTAACGTTGCTCTTAAATCTTGATTTAAAAATATCTAAATTTTGGATTAATAAAACTAGTTTGATAACTCTCTAGACCTATGAAATGTCCTAAATTTGTGGAAATTTAGAGTATTACTACAAGCTCTTGTATATAGAAATGTATTTTGGAATCCTAAGGGTTAAATGATGTGTCTGACTTGGTATACTAATTAGTGATTCTTAATACAGAATATAATTTTTCATTTCAACTACATGTTCCAAACTACTGAAATGGGACAGATTTATTTTTTTAAATGTTTGTTGTGATTATGTAACTTGATTTTATGAATTATTTAAATAAAAGTAAAATTAAATTGAGTAATGTGAGCTCTATTTTCCGCTTTGAAATAGCACTTGAAACACTGCATTACTTTTTTTTTCCCTTGTAATTTTTCAGCTGCATACATCAAATGAGCCTAGTAAATATGTATATATTAATAGAGACAAAAAGGAACAAAGTACTTGTTCTCCACAGAGAACTAAATTCTGCTTCTCTCTATCATACTAAAATCCTGTTGACGTGTCTGTAAGGTGAGTAAAATTTAGCCCCTGGGAACAGATGACTTTGAAAGGAAATCGGCCTAGTTGTATTACACGACCTTTTCTGGGAAGTTGGCTCTTCATGGATTTTGTTCACATGGAGCTCTAGGTAGGGATGCTTTAATTCTCAATTCTTATAGTCTACCTTTGCAAGATGTTTCTTTAGTAATTTGTGTGCTGTTTCATGAAAAGGTTGTGTTTAGGCACGGTGTCCAGGGTGCCAGGGAGGTGAGAGGCCAGACTCCCATTGAAGGTCATTGGGAGTTTGGTGCCTTCGAAAAGTCTCCCCTTTGGGTGTGGTATTTTTCCCTTTTAGAAGGCAAAATGCATTTTATAAATGGGCTTATTTTTGTCTTGAAAAGCTCATGCAGGGACCATTCCCCAATATGGCCCAAGCGTGCTGAATCCATCTGCTGACTTTCTCAGGCAGGTGGTTCATAATCCCAGCCAGATCAAAGGTTTGGGGGAGTGTTTCTCTCAAGGAAGGACATCTATCTAGTGGGCTGAGGAATTCAAAGGGGAAGTGATTAGGAACAGCTGTGTCTGGGGAGATATTTGAGCCAGTTTTGTTTTTTTTTTAAATCAAAATTATCTCCAACAAGAGGATATGGTTGAACTTAGGCAGCATGTAGATTGTGTTTGAGAGCAGGCAGGAGTGCCAGTGGCTCTTAATACTTGCAGCCTTACACTTTTTCCACATTAGACAAGTAAAGCAAATAAACAGCCGCCTTCTTGTATATATAACTTTAATGCAGAAGATTCTTTGTTTTACCTCCTCCGAAGGCTAGCTTTTAAAAAGCATCGCACTACTGCTGTGTTCAGTTGCAATGTCATGTTTTAAAGAGTAATAAAACTAATCAATAGTCAGTGTTCAAATTGTAATAGAGTCAATGACAATTGAGGGTTAAAACCCTCAACTTGTTAGTAAGACTTTGAGAGCTGCTCCATTAAATGCAGTTTTAAAAATTGTAATCAGTGCTCTATTCACACTAAATGTGAGAGAGTAATTAACATAGCCATCAAATTATGACAGCTTGAATTAGTGACTTTTTTAAAAACTGTTGTGATTTTTTTTTTTTCCAGTGTCTCTGAAAGACACATCAGTGGTTCTCAAAGGGTGGTGCCAAACTGAGTATTTAGGGAAATATTAGAAAAGAAGAATTGGGGTAAGTGGGAGATTCTTGGGGAAAGGCTGGGAGAAAGCTGATGACAGGACATTAGAGACCTGGAAGCTGATTTACAACCAGCATCTATGGTGGAAAATCTGTTGGGGTGGTGTAACACAATGTTGAAAGCGTGCTGCTCCTCTCTGCTGTTTGCTGTGCAGAGTGAGTCATCCCTGTCTTATTTGTACTATGTTATTTAGCAATGGCAGTTCCCATTAATTTAGGACCGTGATTCATTGCTACAGATCTGTTGGAATGTTTTACAGATATTTAATTATATATCAGAATTTATGTTAAACTGGTTTAATAGTATTTATATAATGTTGTACTAGAAAACAAGGGAATTCCATGTTAGGTTAGGAGTGTTGGGTAAAATCTATAGATCCATAGCTTCTGTTTAATTCATACTTGTTTTAGTTCCTGCTCAATGTCCTCTGAGTGAGACTTAAAACAGTATTCATTTATTCCACATGATCCTGCAAGGTAAATGGAAGAACCTCATATATACTTAATTGTGCCTCTTTACCAGTTATGCAAATCCAAGATGAGGTATTCCTTCCCTCCCTTCTCCAGTCAACATCGAGGCAGGGTGGGGGGGGGGAGCCCCATCTTAGATTTGAGTACAAGTGGGTGGTAACAGTTTTCTCCAACCCCAACCCGGGGTCAGATCAGAGCTGCAGCTTCTGCCTCCTGCTGCCACTGCTCCCTTTTCTCCCCGCAACCACTAGCCTGCCCATTGCAGCTCTGGAGCCCCGCTCTGGTTTAGGGCAGGGAGCAGGAAGTATGTGGTGGTTCTGGCCCCAGCCTGGGCTGGAATGAAGCTGTCACCACTGCAACAACTGCTCCACGGCTAGGCTGAGACCAGCAGCAGCACATGCTTGTCTTGCTCCCTGTCCCAGGCCAGAGCAGGGTCTGGAGCTGCATTGGGAAAGTAAGCAGCAGGGTCTGGGGGGGTCACAGGGGGCAAAGGGGGGAAGATGGCACAAGAGGAGGCTTTTGATGGTGCTGGGGACAACTTCCGGTGGGGGGCAGGCAGCAGGGATCAGGGGGTCAAGTGATGGAGTGGGGGTAGGCAGGTGGCATCCCCCCCCTTAAATTTTCCACGTCAAGAACCTAATTATTTGGGGGTGTAATTCAGAATCATCTTGGATTTGGGTAAATACAACATCTTGGTTATGCAATTAATTTGAAGGCCTGATCCAAAGTTCATTGAACAGAATAAAAGAATCACAGGTGACTAGTAGAGGGGATACTGGGGGGGGGGAAGGGGGGAGGAGGCATGTGCCCCCCCCGATATTGGCCCCTGACTTGGCACTGCTCAGGACGGAGCAGTTTGTTTGCCGTGCGGGCCGGCAGCATATTTGAGGGGGGGCGGGGGGCACTAAGCTGCTGCACAGAAGTATAAGAGTGGATATGGGCTTTGGGCCCAACCACAAATTGTGCGCGGCCCCCCCCGACTCAGCAGGCACCAGTCACCCTGGAGAAGAATTCATTGTTTTTGATTGGGCCCTTTTAAAAATAAGTGATTTTGAGACTTCCTTTTTATAGTGCAATTGGCTTTGGCATTTTTGGCTGAATTTGGCTTTATATTAAGTATTTACAATCCCAGATTTTTGGCCAAAGACCTTGCATTTTCAGCCACTGCTCCTACAGTATTTCTGTTGTCTTTGGACATAGGGGTTAAAGAATGAAGACAGACATCACTTTAGCAATGAAACCGTGTGTTTAAATCCACATCTTCCTGAGCTTGCACATAGCCTGAAACAATCATTCTCATCTGTGATCATTCAGATGGGTCACGTTTCTGCGGACTCTGAAATTCTGCACCTCTGGAACTTGGTATCTTTCCAAAATGCCACAGAATTCTGTGTAGAGTTTGCCATTTTGCTATGACCAAGCACTTGGTGTTTGGTTTTATTTTTTTCATTTCCCTGAGCATCTGGTTGCACTGGTTGCAGCTGCCTCTTGCTTTCCAGTTGTCACCACAAGATAGCTGATAGCATTGCA